GCAAGTAAACTTCCGGTTAGAGTGACATTACATTGTATCGTTTGACGTTTTAATAACAGTCGTGTGACGTCACACACTAGTAAGACGCCATATTGTCCAGAGAAACGTTTTGGCGGCAACTTGAAAATTGAGTTTTATTATTTAATTATTTTTCCTGAAATACACAACAGAATGATAAATATCCACTTTTTACGGACTCCATAAATATTAGTCAATAACGTGAAATCTTTTTTTAAAACTTGTCAAATACTCTATTCAGAAAGTTGTCCACTGCGAAAGTTGCTTAACTTCAACGATCGCAGCCGAACACGCTAAACACTTGCGTCATTGAGTTCAATAAATAAATTAATAATAACTAGCAAACCAGTGAACCAAATGTTCACCAAAACCTGATATAATTAAAAAAAATGTATTTAATTAATTGAGAACTTCGGAGATTTTGTGTGGTTTCGTTTGAAATTCGTGATTTCTCGAAAACCGGAAGTGCTACGTTACTCAAATCCGGTTTGTAGTCTTATCAGACTATTCTTAACTTATAACTCAAACATTCTCTTATCTATCTCTTACGGTATGGCCGCTGAAACAGCACCACAGACAGACGGACGGACGGACTTGTCTAATAGATAAGAGATTACCTTTAATCGCATATTGACTGCCTCACCGTTGTGATTTGGTATTCTCAATCTATATATTGAATGTGTTTTTAAGCTATTGCATAGATTTTATCGCGGGCTTTGAGCGCGGCGACCGAATCAAAAAATTCCGTAACGAAAATAACCCGACAACAGTGCATATGTACACAATTTTCGCCTTTCCAGTATCATTCGAAACGGCGCAGTGTGTTAAATTTTACCGCGGTCGTCGGTTCAAGAGCTCTATTTTTGAATCACTCGTCTTGCGTCGAACGCTCCATTTCTACTAAATTTCATTCGAAATAATAATTCCGTATTATTGAATCGCTCGAGTGCAACGAATGGGCGAGACCACTCGCTGCATGGCGAACGGTGGAGGCGAATGATAGAATAATTGTAATTTTTTTTGTGCTATTAGACGACGATAATCTATCACTTCAATGCTTTATATGAAACGACAAAGAGTAGTAGTAATTACCGGTTCTTATTATTTCTGCGTGAAATGAGTAAAATTTCGTATTTCGTATCAAACAGGTAACACTGGTGACGAGTGATTCAAAAATACGGAAAATCAGTATTATGCGACTTGAAAGTCGAAGGTGACTTATGTCGCATTCGACGATACTATGTCAGACGAGTGATTCAAAAATAGAGCTCCAAATCCCGCACTCGTATTTTTTTCCCCCTTTTTTATATATTTGTTTTAGACCCCAGCACCTGTTCTTATGTTTACTTGTCTCCCTTTTATTTAGACCTTATAATTATAATTGAATTTTTTGGACTAAATATGGTAAACTGTGGAGCTTGTGGTAGTCTTTTGACGCCGGACAATGCTGTTGTTTGCTGTGCTTGCCCAATAAAATATCATAATGCCTGGCTCGCCATCTATTGATATCTTGTACCACTTATCATACAAATTTAATTTGTGTAAAAGCCTTAAAAGCTATTCGGACCGGTTAAGACATTTTAATCTTATATCTCTTAAAAATCGCCGCAAAATTTTAAATCTTTCGTTCCTTCACAATTTAGTCAACGGCAACTTAAATTGTCCTCAATTGCTTCAAAAAGTTAATTTTACAATTTCTCATAATCTTCCGCGCCTCTCTAGATACTCATTATTTAAACCAAAGCGCTCCAAGACGAACCTAGGCTCATTTTCCCCTATTAACAGGCTCCTTACTGATTATAATAATATCAGTAAAAATCGTGAAATTGACATATTCCATCTAAGTTTACCTGCATTAAAAAAAAAATTACGTATAATGTTCAAATAGATTCTTAGTATTAACTTTTTCTTGTAATAAACCTTTATTTAAATTATAATATTTAAGCTAAGGGATGCCCTACGCTCCCGACTCCCATTGTATACGCTTGCCGTGGCAACCTGTAATTGAGGTCGCACCAACTCTTTTATAACAAATGTGTAACTTTTAGCTTTTAAGGTGTATGATCTTGTTGGTTGTCCAAATAAATAAATAAATAAATAAATATCAAAGAAAAAAAATACTGCATAAATAAAATAAATAAATACAGTGTAAACTCTGTCTTTGGTTGGTTCAGTCTGTTTTCCATACAATGATACACTCCATATAGCATTACACCCACTCTCTATAACGACGTAATTTATTTAGTTATTAATTTATATTAATTATAAAGTAATAAAAAGTATCTTTTAAGTTACGAAAATTAGTGAAAATCGCGCAGCTGTGTACGTTACTTTGTCGCTTTATTAACCTAGCCTGTAATAAACTCGACCTGTCGGCATCATGCAAACTGCGCAAACTGCAAACATGCAAATTTTCTAAGAAATTCGTTTTTTCATTTACAAATTGGGATTGCATGTGTAGACTATTGTTGACCATGACTAAATAAAGAATATAATACAGCAAAATTACTGGTGCAGAAAGACGTCAGACAAATAAAAACAGAATATAGGTACGCAATAGCGTTCAAATAAGATTATTTTTTTATGTACATAACTACTAGCTTGAAATAAACTTTTTTTTTCATAAGATATACTGATTTTTCCTCTTTCCATTTAACGACAACTCTCTATAACGCCATAATATGTACAGTCCCTTTAGTGTCGTTATATAGAGTTTACACTGTAATTACAATTACATAAGTTTAAGTTGATAAACAATGCTATGCAATAGCTTTACCGCGGCAGTCCCCGAGCCGAGTGTCACTCGTATTTTTTTGTATTTAAAATTATGTGTTGCAATGCGAATTCATGCAATGTCATGGCCCAATCTCCCTGTTCCATCCATGGAAGGAAGACCTGTACCCCAGCAGATGATGATGATGATGCGAATTCGTGTATTGTCTTATGTTGGTGTAATTTTTCAACTCAAAAATATATTATGTTTATTGCATCATATAGTTAAAAACATATAGTCATATACATAGTTAGCAAAGGAGGGCTCATCTCTAAAAGAGATCTCTTCCAGCCAACCGAGGTAGTGTCGGTGTTCAAAACTTAGAGGGAAACAGAAAGTGCAATAAAAGTTAAACTAAAATAATTTATTACTACTGTTATATGAAAAAGACTTAATAAATAAGTCTATTTCCATGTATATATATATATATATATATATATATATATATATATATATATATATACATAAGCCTGATAAATAAATACTAATAAGAAACAAGATACTTCGTGAGAATTATTCATTAAGTTTATGGTTGAGCAGTAATTATAAAAAACATACGAAAAGATGTGGTTGTTAGTGTCGATACTGGCATAATTTTCTAAACCTAAACTTAAATTTGACAATAATATATCTTAATCATTCTCTATACAGAAGGAAAAGGAAAGTCTGATGTTAAATTTAGTTTTAAGTTTAGAGAATAATGGCGAGTGTCCTATATGTATTCACTGGACAACTGTACTTGTAGAATTTAATAAAATGCCATAAGTTATTAATGTAATTATTTTTAATCTGTTATTTTATTAGTTTAATTTTGTATTTTTTTTTATAATTATTATTTTGTTGACATTTTTAATTTTGGCATGACCCCCATGACCCCCCCTTTGGATGCGCCCTTGGCTATCGAAGCCCGTACCCTAAGCACGAACCAATATCGAATTCGTATCGTTTGCGAGTGCGAAATGTCATTGTCAAATGTGTACTGATTTTTAGTTCTCTGTACGTACTTTGTGCCGCTGCTGTTCAAGTTTCCATACAAAATTTGACATTGACATTTCGGTTTGCAAACTATTCGAATTCGATAATGGTTCGTGCTAGGGGCACTGTTATGTTAACTTTTGAGACGTGTTTAATATTAAGGCTTTGTTATAGTATGAAGTGATAAGTCCATAATTATAGAAGGTCATTCAGTTTTGTGGTCATTATGATAAAAACAAAAATTGTGTTTTTAAAGTAAAATTTCTAGTTAATGGTGAAAAAGCCATTAATTCAATCTGAAATTTTACGAGGCAACTCCCCCGATTGAGCTCCAATTCTTGTGTATCTTCTTTTAATCTTATTATAAAAAAAAATGGGTGCGTGTACTTATGTAGGCGCGTGAGAAGTTATCCTTCTTTGGCATCGTTTAAAATTAGTTTTTAATTGCATGCAAATAATTAATTACAATAAATTAATAAAAAGTCTGGAAAAGGACACAGTCAATAAAGTTCAGTTTTAATTTGAAAAAATAAATAAATAATCAAAATATTCAATTAAAATCGCTACTGAATATAATTTATTAGAACATATGTGATTTGCACTTGTATGAAACTCGAACACGTATTCCGAATATACAAACTAGAAACATGTGGATAAATATTATAAATATGAATACCTATAACTGTTACTTTATTACAAAAAATAAAGATGTGGTTTTTGGTTCTACTACACCAATGGTCAAGAGATGGCGCTGTAGTCTCCTGAATCGCGCTTTGATTCCGTTGTTCCAGATTAATAAATACTTTTGATAGGCCTTCACAATGCAGTCGTTAGCACCCACTAAATAGAGATTCTATTTCTATTTTGTTGGTAGATTTTCTTTATGTGCGGTAAACACAAAAGTAGTAGTGGTCGCTTTGGCGACCAACTTCATGCTGTTAAAATTTTGTGTTACAGTGATGCGCGCGCATCTTAAAATTTCACTCTCATCATTTTTTCATAACGCGCCTAAAGAAGTATAACTTCAACTAGTGGCCCGCCCTCGCTTCGCTTCGGGGTAGAATTGATCAGAATCCTTTCTTAGCGGATGCCTACGTCATAACATCTACCTGCATGCCAAATTTCAGCCCGATCCATCCAGTGGTTTGGGCTGTGCGTTGATAGATCACTATGTCAGTCAGTCACCTTTGAGTTTTATATATATAGATATTAACTTTACGATATTCACTTCCAGATGCCGAATGACATAGATCACGGTATTCTTGTATGGAAGGTCATCATTGGATCACCCGCTTACAAGTAAGAGTTTAATATTATTTAATTTTAAGCATCGCTTTATAAATTAAAAGATGTTTTTCACTAGAAAATCGGGACAAGATAAAGTTATTCTAGTTAAAACATCTTATTGTTTAATATATTTTTCTATTTAAACACCAACTATGATTATAATTTCTATTTTTAAGCATGTAACTGCTTGATGTTTAAATCTAAAGAAAATAGAACTAGAAAAAATTCCACGCGGACCAGTTAGTTATATTTTCCTTAGATTTAAACATCAAGCAGTTACATGCTAGAAAAATTAAAAATTATAACTATAATTGCTATTTCTTCTTTCAAATGTTTAATACTTGTAAAAGTATTCATTTGACATTGTGGGTTACCTACAATGCGAAGAAATGGCGCTGCCTTGCAGCTTAAGAATGGCTAGAAGTATTTCGACGCGGCCGTCAGGGCCGCGGTAGCATAATTGGTCAGTGCATTCGCCCGGATTGCGAAGGGTGCGGGTTCGAGTCCCGTCTTCTGCCTATTCCGCGTGGATTTTTTTGTAGTTATATTTTCTTTAAACTAACTATGATTTTGTTCGCTTGTACTTCCCTTGTATCTATACTAATATTATAAATGTGAAGGTGTGGCTGTCTGTACTTCTTCACGCTTAAACGACTGAACCGATTCAGATGAAATTTGGTATAAAGCTAGTTTAAGTCCCGCGAATGGACATTGATAGATATGATAGATTCCATTCCTAGAAATCATCTTTGAAATGGGTAAAAAGAGGGTTGGAAATTTGTATGCGAAACCAATTGCTTTTACACAGACGAAGTCGCAGGCACCCTCTATATTATTAGTGTGTACAAAACTAATTTAAAAAGCAAATTGTTCACCAACATTTCATATTGACGACCTCCGTGGCCGAGTGGTTTGTACGCACGCCGGGTTTCATGGTGTCGCCGACTCGAGAGGTCCCGGGTTCGAATCCCGGTGGGGGCAGATGTTTGTGTGATGAATACGAGCATTTGTACTCCAGTCATGGATGTTTAATATATATTTCTATATAAATGTACTTATATATGTACAGTATATGTATTCTATTCGTTACCCTGGCACCCCAACACAAGCCTTACAGTGCTTACTTTGGGGCTAGGCTAATTTTTTTTTGCCGACGTCACACCATTAGCCCAGCCCCAAAGTAAGCACTATAAGGCTTGTGTTATGGGATACTAGAGTAACGGATAGAATACATATACTGTACATATATAAGTATATTTATATAAATACATATTAAACATCCATGACTGGAGTACAAATGCTCGTATTCATCACACAAACATCTGCCCCCACCGGGATTCGAATCCGGGACCTCTCGAGTCGGCGACAGCCACGGAGGTCGTCAATTGGTGTGAATGTCGGAAATATTTATCTAATATATAAAATTCTCGTGTCGCGGTGTTTGTGGTTAAACTCCTCAGAAACGGCTTTCCCGATTCTCATGAAATTTTGTGTGCATATTGCGTAGGTCTGAGAATCGGACAACATCTATTTTTCATCCCCCTAAATGTTAAGGGTAATCCATACCTAAATTTTTTTTTTCAATTTTAGATTTTTTTTATGATGATGTGGCGGCGACATCACATATTACAACGGATGTAAGAAATCATTACTCACCATCCTCAAGAGATGGCGTTACCTGCACTGCGATCAATATTAGTGACCCCGACGTGATAGTGTAGGAAGGCCAAAGGGGAAGACCGACTGATGTTGGTCGGGCATCGTATATAAGAAGAGTTAAGGTGTAAATATTTTTGATTCTATAAAACACTGGTTCGGTGTCAACCCTAGCATAAAAATTAAAAAATTAATATCTTCTAATCGCCGCAAAAGCGACACGTGGCTTATTTATTTATGATAGACCACATCAGTAGGTTTATTTCTATCTAAGTTCTAGGTTCCACTTTTTCGTTTTTAGGGAGAAAAAACAATAAATACGAAATACAAAAAAAAATGCTGCTCCCAAACCAATGCATTTTTTTAAGCTAAAGAAACGCGTTTATACGCCTCTGATTATGCCCGATTGACACATATTTATTAAAAAAATATATTGTTAATATTCACTTTATAAAAAAATATTCTAGATTTCATAGGTCAAAGGTCACGATAAGTTCATGATTTTTTTTCTCAAAAAGTATTTGAGTTAGACGTCTGTAAATTGAACTCATGCCTTTTTTAGGGTATAAATAATCTATTTATGTAAGAACCTGAACATGTAAATTTTTTTGGTTCCATAAAACACTGTGCAGTGCAGGTAACGCCATCTCTTGAGGATGGTGAGTAATGATTTCTAACATCCGTTGTAATATGTTGTAATACATACAACCCTAAATTTTCACCCTTCTACCACCAACCCTTACTGAAGTTATACTTCTTTAGGCGCGTTATGAAAAAATGATGAGAGTGAAATTTTAAGATGCGCGCGTATCACTGTAACACAAAATTTTAACAGCATGAAGTTGGTCGCTTTATATTCAGTAGCGATTTTAATTGAATATTTTGATTATTTATTTATTTTTTCAAATTAAAACTGAACTTTATTGACTGTGTCCTTTTCCAGACTTTTTATTAATTTATTGTAATTAATTATTTGCATGCAATTAAAAACTAATTTTAAACGATGCCAAAGAAGGATAACTTCTCACGCGCCTACATAAGTACACGCACCCATTATTTTTTTTTTATGGCGGTACGAAGTTCGCTGGGTCACTTAGTTTATTTATTTATATATTTCAGCGGTGGTCTTCAACCCGGCGACATAGTGACCAGTATTAACGGATCTCCGGTTCACAGTGCGACTGATATCTACACTCTACTCGAGAAGAGCACTGGCAATCTGAAAGTAGACGTAGTTAGAGGGAGACAGAGGATCACCCTTACCGTAGTACCGGACTTGCACGGCTAAAGGCATAGAATAATAGGCTATTGACATGACAGTATGAAAAATTTGGACAATGTTGAATGTTCTATTCTTTTAAACTTTCATGGTCACTAACATTATAGCTATTAACCCCATAAAATTTAAAGAATAATATTGTTATTTAAAGAAAATGCTTTAATCATAGGACACGTTGTAATACCAGGGGGCCAATCGCCTAACGGAAATGCTTTGGAAAACGCTAACGCTTACGATTTTATTTTGTTATTTCTAGCCGCCTGAGGTATTCAAATGCCTCGCGCTCTTTCTTTTTTCTTTTGCATTGGTAATAACAATATTAAAAAAAATGAGCGTGAGGTATTCGAAAACCTCAGGCGGCTAGAAATAACAATTTCAAATCGTAAGCGTTAGCGTTTCCCAAAGCATTTCCGTTAGGCGATTGGCCCCCAGCTGATATATTGCCAAGAAGACGATAGATATAACTTCAAAATTAGCATCAATGTCATTGTTTTTCTGCAACATGACATAAATTTTCTCTATTTGGCTTAAGAATCATTCCTAATTCCCCAAAGATGTCTAAAGGTACCTGAGTCATTAACGCGATTGTTGTGTTATTTCGTATGTGCAAAAATTAAAAAAAAGTGTCGTTCCGCGATCTGATACTGTGAGTATTGTGTGTCGGGAACGGGTGCGAGTAAATAGTGAGAATGTGACCAGTGGTAGGGGTATTGAGCGCAGTAAAAGACGACGTCAGAGGGTAGACCGATATGTCTGCCAATAACATCTACCCGCAATAGGATATTTGACAGTATTAAAAATAAAGTGCCTATTGTTAGCATCTGTGTTTAGAATGAATATTGGCAGGGGTTTTTACTATTTTTACAAAGATAATATTCATAATTTTACTAAAAACCCACGAAAAAGATGATAGTTTTGTTATCTATTGTCACGTGATCCAAAACGCTTGGGATTGGCGGAGCCTAAAATGACGTCACACGCAAGTAAACTTCCGGTTAAAGTGACATTACATCGTACCGTTTGACGTTTTAATAACAGTCGTGTGACGTCACACACTAGTAAGACGCCATATTGTCCAGAGAAACGTTGTCGCGGCAACTTGAAAATGGAGTTTTTGATTTGGTTATTTTTACTGAAATACGCAACAGAATGATGAATATCCACTTTTTACGGACTCTTTAAACATTAGTCAATAACGTGAGATCGTTTTCTAAAACTTGTCAAATACCCTATTACTTCAGTTACTCTGTGATCATGGCGCTTGAAACAGTGCCGAAATATCGGTGACTCATAAAAACAAGGTGCATGGTAACAATCCCGTTAATAGCTATAATGTCGAATGTTTGTGACATGTACACAAACCAAAAAATATTATCTGAAGTAAATAAATGTACAGACCACAAAGGATCGTCTCAGTAAGTACAGATTCATTTTGCCATCACTAAATACATCGTTATTCATAGCATCTTATGTTCACCTCATTTCATGTATAGATACTGCTAAATCTTGAATATTAGAGTTCTCAAGAAGAACAAGCTTGCCGTTCCATGTTTCAGACTCCAAAAATCAAGAGGTTCATTTCTGGGTTGTAGTATTGCATTGTTTAATAAAGTTCCCCTAGATCTGATTGAGCTTTCACCCACTAAATTTAAATGTCAGATCAAAAATACTCTTATGAATAAGGGCTATTATACAGTTGATGATTATCTAAATGATCGTAATGCATGGACATAGTGTTTCTTATAATTTGTTATTAAATGGGTATTGGTCTTTTTTCATAACAGTAATATTGTTTCTTAGGTTTTCACGCACATCACTCATTAAATAAAACTAGTTTTTACGGGTTAATGCACGAAACTTTATTTATTTATTGACGTTTCGCAGCCTTTTCAGGTCTGCATCGTCAGAATAATCAGTCAGTAATATTGTACCTATCTAATGCCGCTTCCTATATACTAAATATAATGTTTACTATAAAATCAATTGTAACTATATATTTATATTCTAAATGATGTAATGGAAAGTGACATCAGACGTATTTCTGAAGTCATTTTTCAACTTGACGACACTGTATATATAACACACATACAGGGAGAAAAAAACAGCCCTTGCTGAGTTTCTTGCCGGTTCTTCTCAGTACAAGGTCTCCCGCTGTAGTTTTGCGAACCGATGGCGTAGCTTCTTGACTTTCACAAGTGCTTGTAACAGCCTAGACTGAATAAATGACTTTTCATTTTCATTTTCAATATGTTTGGAATTCTGCGAGTGGCGGCCTCTCAGACAACACAGATCGTCGGACAGCACCTTCAGGTTGCCCCCTGACAAAGGCCTATCATAGTTATCAGTATAACATAAATAAAGCCTATTGACATTACATGCTATGTTTTACAGGTGGTTCATTTCATACAATCCTGAGTATGCCTGTGCAATTTTTTTTACTATCTATTTGCAATACGCTATTCGACAGTATGAATAATAAAGCACCAATTGTTGGTATCTGTATTTAATACGAACTAGCAAAACCAGTGAACCAAATGTTCACCAAAAAAAAAAACAAAAAAAAGTGTATTTAATTAATTGAGAACTTCGGAGATTTTGTGTGGTTTCGTTTGAAATAGAAATCACGTGATTTCTCGTAAACCGGAAGTGCTACGTTACTCACATCCGGTTTGTAGTCTTATCAGACTATTCTTAACTTATAACTTAAACATTCTCTATATCTATCTCTTACGGTTTGGCCGCTGAAACAGCACCACGGACGGACGGACGGACTTGTCTATTAGATAAGAGATATTAGCAGCGATTTTACTACTCAAAAGAAATAAATAGTTAATAACTTTTCTCAAAAAAAAAACATTTTTGTAAATAGAATTTTTCTTCTATGATGACGTGACCGATAACGCCCGGCATTGGCGTAGACTGAAATGACGTCACACGCTAGTAAACTTCCGGTCAAAGTGACATTACATAGTATCGTTTGACGTTTTAATGATAGTCGTGTGTCATCACACACTAGTGGGACGCCATAATGTCCAAAGAGGACTTTTTGGCGAGATCGGAAAGCGTCACTTTAGCAGTTTTGTTTTTCTTGTTAAAAATTGTGTTGTGGCGGATGTTAGAAATCAGAAATCAGAAATCAATATATCTTTATTCAAATTGGATGTATAGTACAACTCTTTTGAATCGTCCAAAATTTTTTTTTCCCTACCACTCGTTATGGACATATTTTTTAGCTGCGGAGAAAAACGAGCGAAAAAAACTCCACAACATTAAAAGTCTATGTAACAACATTTACAAATCATTATGTTGTTACAACGTCAATACAATTATGATTTATTTAATATAGAAAACCTGTTGGAATGATTGGAACAGTTCAAACCCAAGCATTTTTGTCTGTAATATAATCAGACACTTTGTAATAAGCTTTTTTAATAAGTGTTTTTTTTATAATATCTTTAAATTAGTTAGTGTCTAATAATGGCGGATTATTAACCACTAAGTGTTCGGGCACTTGCACAAGTGTTGGCAAATGAAACAGCGGAAAGTGTCTTTCGACGTTCACTCAAGAAGTCCACGGGGAGGTTCCAGTAAATGCCCACACTTTTACTGAAATAGGGATAGGGGGATTGACTTGACCGCCACTTACTTTGACTTCATTCATTACTTTGACCACGAGTGTTATAGTATTTGTAAACATTTTAACACTTGACATTGGCTAAAAGCCAAACCGTGCGAAACAATTAAGGAAAAAATATTTCCAAAGAAACGTTTTCGAGCCAACTTGAAAATTTAATTTTTGATATAGTTTTTGTTTTACCGAAATACTCAACAAAATGATGATTATCCTTTTTTATGGACTCTACAAACATTAATTAAAAGTTTCAACGGTATAGATGCACCGATTTATTTATTTATTGACATTTCGTATCCTGTAAAGGATGCGTCGTCTGAATAGGGTATTTGACAGTATTAAAAATAAAGTGCATTATGTTAGCATCTGTGTTTAGAAAGAATATTGGCAGGAGTTTATACAATTTTTACAAAAAAAAAAAATTACTAAAAATCCCACGAAAAAGATAATAGTTTTCTTATCTATTGTCACGTGACCCAAAACACTTGGGATTGGCGGAGCCTAAAATGACATCACACGCAAGTATCGTTTGACGTTTTAATAACAGTCGCGTGACGTCACACACTAGTAAGACGCCATATTGAAAATGGAGTTTTTGATTTGGTTATTTTTACTGAAATACACAACGGAATGATGAATATCCACTATTCACGGACTCCATGAACATTAGTCAATCACGTGAAATCGTTTTCTAAAACTTGTCAAATACCCTATTATACGTATCTTGAAAAGGATGCAAAAAGTCAATAAATAAATAAATCAGTGCATCTATACCGTTGAAACTTGTTTTAATTAATGATTGGTGTGCGTGAAAACCTAAGAAACAAATATATCTACAGACATTAGTAAATAACGTGAGATCGGTTTCTGAAACTTGTCAAATACCCTATTATAATCATTTGCAAAGAAGGAATATTAAAAATAAACTCTGGCTAGATCGGTAGAAACTGTTCTAACCAAAAGCCAAATTTGGCTATATGTAGTTAAAAATAATAGAAAAATTACTTTACTTAGAGTTTGACACATTTTTCTAAAGTGGAACTTTTTATTAGCTGCAGTAAAATGACGTTTTGTGGCTTTTCGAAGAAAAATAAATAGGGATGTAGCTAAGTGAGTAAGTGAATCATTCAATAAATGAATGATCAGTTTGGTTTTGTTTTAGAGATTTATTATTAAGTTGTTATGTATTTTTTTATTCTATTATTATTACTATAGTTTAGGATTGATCTTTTTCAGTGGAAGTATAGGGACGTATATCCAAAATGAAACAAAAATATCATAACAATATTATTTAAATACTATTATTATTTTTCAATCATTTTCGGAATCACTATAGCTTTCGCTTTCGGTCACACTAATGACAGTCTTTTATTTATATGAATAATAAATAGAATTAAGTATGAACATTATGAGTTAGTTATGAAACGATTAGATTTTCTGTGAACCTAATCACATCCCTATTATAATTAGACAGTTAACATTATTTTACGGAATGACATTGTGGAACGTCATTTTACTGCAGCTAATAAAATGTCGAAGTATAAGTATTTGACGTGACATTGACCAATAGTCAAATTTGACTATGTATCAAACAACACGACCTAAGTGAGACAGTATACATTATTCGGCTTGTTTCAGGTTTCTTTTTCCAAGTTTTATTTGGCGTTTCTTGTCGGTTCACTTTTGAATTTTATTTATTTTATTTTATATTTGGATTGGACATCGAAAAGTTTCCAAAAGAGAAATATTGTTTGTTTCAAATGCTGACAGTTTTCAAAATAGAGTTAAGAAGGTTTTTGCATATTTTTACTAAATTCTTATTTTATGTAAAAACATTGTTTTCCAACTTTCGAAACGATTAAAAAATGGTGCAATTTCTATCTCTTTCCAATACATTTATCGGGTTTATTAGTAAAAATAGGAGAGACAGAATGCACGTTGTTGCTATCTTAGCATTCCTTCTATGTAAATTATTATTTAGAGGCTAAAAAGAATAAGGGGGTTTTCTGAAATGGCGCTCGCCAGATTTTAGCACTGAACCGAAAGAAACCTCATCTGTCAAATCGCATATCTAGGTATATTGTCATTTCCTATGAATTAATTTAAATTTATAAATCGATGAATTCGCGCCAAAAACTTTATCTAAAAACACCCAACTCCAACTGGAGTCTGGGGGCCATTCGCCTAACGGAAATGCTATGGAAAACGCTAACGCTTACGATTTCATTTTGTTATTTCTAGCGGCCTGAGGTTTTCAAATGCCTCGCGCTCTTTTTTCCTTTTCTTTTGCATTGGTAATAACAATATTAAAAAAAAAATGAGCGTGAGGTATTTGAAAACCCGGTTTGGCGGTCAGAAACCACAAAATAAAATCAAAAGCGTTAGCGTTTTCCAAAGTTTTTCCGATAGGCGAATGGCCCCCTGGTGGTGTGAATTTCTTTAAAAACCTCATTATAATAATACTCAGAAACGTCTAATTAATCTCTCATTAAGTCTCATTCTTTTGTCATCGCAAACATAAGGTAAGGACAGCATCAAACTTCAAAGGAGATTGCTCAGCTTCCATACATGTTTGGCCTAAAGACCAATAATCATAAAAAATTGTTTCCTAGATTCGAAATTATATATAAATTACTGTAGAAACGAATATTATTGACGGACACCCCTGAGAACTTCTATAAACCATATACACTGAATGTTTTGGAGGTTGTTTGCAAATAGGTACATAGGTATTAAAATAATAAAAAGAAATAAATAACGAAATTATGTATTAGATTCAGGTATATAAAGCATGTAGATTAATAGATAGTTGCCTGTTTTTAAAGTTAATGCATAAGAGTAACTTTTAAAATCAGGTATCATCTATGCATTTCCGGTTATAATAAGCTACTCTGTGACAGAAAATGTGTGTTATATTTTGTGAATGAGCCACAGATTAAAGAGAATTTTTAACTCTCGTTAACTAAAGAAAGCTTATTATTTTTGTTATGTTTATATTATAACCATATTTTAGATTTTTAGTGTATCACACCTTATAATGTGTTTATGGAGGTGTTTGGCGAAAAATGTATGGCAATAGGCTTTATGATGTCGCCTACCATCTATAATATTTGTCTTAGCACATTTGCATGTAGTAAAAATGATAATATACTTGTGGATATTAATACCACAGTTTAGTTATCTTTACATAATAGATTTGATTTTATGTCACATAAACAACTTCGATCACTCTTTGGCTGAATGTTACTACACCTATAGCCATTAAAAATGATTCGTATGTTTTCCAAACCGATAAAAATAAAAGTCCTTTTTAAAATGAATATATTATACAAAGGTGTCCGTTAAAATCTAATGACTGTAAAATAAAGTATAAATTACTCCAAGAATTACCGTATATATCAGTATTTTTTGTACATTTAGGCCAATTTGAGCAATCTTCCTGATTGATTTTTTTTTATTTAAATAGCCAGGTAGGCAAATGACTCTACCCCACCTGATGTTAAGTGGTGATACAGTCCAAACGCGAAGATAGCTGGTACAGTAGTTATAAACTGCCACACTAGATGTTTTATCTGGCCGCATTGTTTAATACATAATTATATGTGACTAAAGTAAGTGTGAAAATTTGACTAACTAAATATTATAGAGTCTGTGCGGAAAGAGAATGGGATTTAGATTGGGGGGCGCTGTAGTGCTTTTCTACCGTATTTGTAAGGTTTTACCCCTTTTAGACATGATTAAATATAAAAAACCGCAAGAAATCACAACAACAAACAAATCCGTATCAATACAAAACTTAGACGTTTTACAGATTGCTGGGTTTGATTGCCAAATAAAAATCTTAATGTTAGTTCCGTTTTTCGCCACGCCCATTCTCTTTCCGCACTGACTCTAGACAAAGTGATTATTTGTTAAAATTTTCACACATCACACTATCACACTAATATTATAAAGGCGAAAGTTTGTGAGTATGTGAGTGTGTATGTTTGTTACTTCTTCACGTCTAAACGGCTGGAGCGATTTTAATAAAATTTGATATGGAGTTAGCTGACACCCTAGATAGGGTACTTTTATCCCGAAAAAAATGTTAGTTTCCAGAGGTATTTTTAAAAAACTAAGTTAACGCAGACGAAGTCGCGGGCGACCTCTAGTTTTCTATATATTTGACGTGATATTGACTAATAGTCAAAGGAGACCCGGCACTTTTCATAGAAAAAATGCTAAACTTGTATACAGTTGAATTTGGTCTCAAAATAAAGCCAAAATTATTTGCTACATAAAACTACTTTTGTCTTATTTTTAGTGAATCGTGGAAAGAAGTTATTTAATGATTAATATTTTTTGATATGGAAACCCTAAGTCTTCAAGGGACAGAATTTTACTTCAAAATATTACTCAAGTGACTGTAAAAACCATGATTCCTTTGCTTTTTCTAAATAAAAAACCAAATGTCAATTTGACAATCCTAAAATACAAACAAAAAATCATTCGCATTTCGCATCCGCTCCCGCGTACTGTGATTGTGAATGTTCTCTGCTGTGATATCCTTTTTATCCGTTATTTCTCTTGACGACCCGGCTACATATAGAGGTTATATTGACAAACCTACGTATTTGACATTGACAGCTAGCTGCTGATGACAAATATTGCCAGACTACGTTACCCAATTATGAAACACAGATAAAAAAATTAAAAAAAGTATACAACGTTGGCACAAAATGCCGGGTGTCCTTTAGCGGTGTATTAAACAACGCGGCCTTGGTGCAACCGTTAGACTGAAAAACCTACTTACTGACAAAAACAAACAATAAATTAAAACATGCCCCAATACGAGCTTGGTGTAAATACACTCTTTACTCATTTGCAATAACCAACTTACCGCATTGATATCATAACTAGCAAACCAGTGAACCAAATGTTCACCAAAACCCGCAAAAAAAATGTATCTAATTAATTGAGAACCTCGGAGATTTTGTGTGGTTTCGTTTGAAATTCGTGATTTCTCGAAAACCGGAAGTGCTACTCAAATCCGGTTTGTAGTCTTATCAGACTATTCTTAACTTATAACTTAAATATTCTCTATATCTATCTCTTACGGTTTGGCCGCTGAAACAGCACCACAGACAGACGGACGGGCGGACTTGACTAATAGATAAGAGATTAACTGTTATAGTCTATCCTGTAACCCGCATATGACTTGCCGTCAAACCACAGTCTAGTCGCTGAATTTCGCAAATAACAATTGATTTTCGTCCTGGGGGTCAATCGCCTAACGGAAATGCTTTGGGAAACGCTAACGCTTACGATTTTATATTGTTATTTCTAGCCGCCTGAGGTTTTCGAATACCTCACGCTCATTTATTTTAATATTGTTATTACCAATGCAAAAGAAAAAGAAAGAGCGCGAAGCATTTGAATACCTCAGGCGGCTAGAAATAACCAAATAAAATCGTAAGCGTTAGCGTTTTCCAAAGCATTTCCGTTAGGCGATTGGCCCCCTGGAAATGTATTACAATGTAGTCTCGTTGAATATTATTTTAATAAAGGCGAAAAATAACGTTACATAATGGAACAAGCAATTTTATGTGACCGTACCTACATGAAAAACCTTCGAAAAATAGATACTTTTTATTAGAATTATCTTTTATGTATGTAGGTACCTAATGCATTCACTTTAGTGCATGTTTTAATAATGTAATATTTTAAGTGGGAAAACATAAACACAGTTGAACAAAATTTCGCGTGCGTCTGTATTAATAACCACACAATAAAGGTACAATGACCCAACGATTTCATTTTATAATAATAAGAAAATCTTTCCTGTTCCACTCTAAGCTGAAATCCAATTTGCCACGCATTAACGGCCCGTATTTTGACGTGACAACGTCTTAAATTAGGTTGCGGCTGGGAGTCACTTATGAAAAAGTGTAACGCTCGGTAACGTTACGATGAGTTTAAGTTTACATGTACAATGTTTTAGTAAACAAAATATATTTCTATAGTTAAAATTTGTGCAATTCTTATTTTCATTCAATTCCTTGTTCCTATTGTGCAATTTAATTATATTCATATCAATAAATATTCTACCGAGAAAAAGACGTTGTCACGTAAAATCTTCGCCCGTAAAACCGACTTTACAGGCAACCATTTTTTTTGTCACAAATTATTATATTGTGTTTATGAAAAATTGTAAACTATATTTAAATCAGAATTAACAAACGAAAATAAAAATAAATATTATAAACGTTTCAACTTCAAACTTCAACAAACTCATGAAAAATAGTTTGACACTCTTGTAAACGCCTAGTTTTGTAGAACCTCTACTTGTAGAACCTCTTCTTGCAGAACCTCTACTTGCAGAACCTATACTTGTAGAATATAGGTCGCCTATCAGGACGTGGGTACACTGTTGCTCTATGAACTGATATGTTGTATTTTACACCATACCAATATACATTATGCATGTTATATGTCAATAACAAGCAATGTAAAATGAACTTTCATTGTAAAGCACGAAGTTTAAATTTTATTTAGCAACTTTCGGAAGGTCAATTTTATATTTTTGTAGGTTTTAGTGATATTTGATAAGTTGTTTTTATGTAGTTATATTATTGTTTGTAGCTGTAAGTTTGTATAAAAATTGTTTATAATTAAATGAATTATTCATAAGGCACCGCTTTTATTTAAATGTTATAATACAACATATATTTGCACCGGGGCTCCTGTCATCTTTAATATTATATGCGGAAAAGTATTTACTAGGCCATATAATCAATAAAATAGGTTATAAAAATACGACTGGCCTGCAAAAGTACGAGTTTAAAAAAAAAAAAAAAAAACATATAGGACCTTTCTGCGATATGTTCAACTTATTTGTAATGATTGAAGAAAACGTTGGGGCTTTTGAAAAAGGCGTACTACCTCGACTAATCTTTTTGAAGTTATACTTCTTTAGGCGCGTTATGAAAAAATGATGAGAGTGAAATTTTTAGATGCGCGCGCATCACTGTAACCCAAAAGTAACAGCATGAAGTTGGCCGCGGGCGCGTTATGAAAAAATCATGTGAGTGAAATTTCGAGATGCGCGCGCATCACTGTAACACAATAGTAACACCATGAAGTTGGCCGCGGGCGCGTTATGAAAGTTAGTGTCTAATAATGGTGGATTATTAACCACTAAGTGGTTAAAGACATCTGTTCGAAAGGTACTTTGAACGATCCACGGAGCTCCATAAGATGATCGCGTTGTCAAAAACAATGTTGGCACGCTCGTCGCCTCTGATCACTGTTCTCATATTTATAATATTTATCCACATGTTTCTAGTTTCTATATAGACACAACGTGGTTTAGTTACTTACAAGTGCTAATTACATATGGACTAATAACTTAAATTCAGTAGTGATTTTAATAGCAGCATTTTACCTGAAATAAAATGCATATTAAAATACTTACCTCACTGAAAGCTTTATATTGAGATAGCACTTCCGTTTCCCGTCGAATTACCATCAGTTTCCGTACTTTTATTCACCTTGTATCCGGTCCAGTGGCGACACCTGGCAGAAGCGCGGCCATTTTTGTTTTCCTAAGTTTTGACAGCGCCATATTAACTCATTGGCTCAATTATTTCACCAGGCAGAATTTAAAGTGAAAGCTTTCAGTGAGGTAAGTATTTTAATATGCATTTTATTTCAGGTAAAATGCTGCTATTAAACTACTTGACCGTCACTGAAAGCTTTATATTGAGACCTGTTTGTTATCGCCTGGTGATCGCCACGTACATAGATATATACGCCAATGTGACAATTTATGATAAATTTAAATATTAACATTTATCAGATTATATGAAACTGTATAAAGAAACGAGTAAGCTTAAAAATTAATCAAATAATATTATTTGAATCACGCCTTTAATTTCTTCAAGCTTACGAAGCTGCTTTAACATATGTATTAGCTGATCGCTATATTCCTTTGCTTAAAACTATGACCGGACACTTCCTTGTGTAGCATTCATTTGTATCTTTTTATATCACAAATAAGGCGTACGAACGCGAGAAAAAGATGTAAAGTTGTTCGATACCGAGTCTTACATTTTACAAGACTGTACTTTTTACTTAAGTACCAAAAATCAGGGTCCCACTTACGATTACCATTATTCGGTACAAGTCACCAATCGGATTGTCTTTAACTACTTTCACCTGTTTTGAACCAAAACAAGGCTAAACTAATCTTCATCGGTACAAATACAATGATTCGGGATAATTTGAAGTAGGAACAAGTCATGTGTACCACATGCTGAACCAAATAATACGCAGCATAATTACTGTATGACGTTCAGAACAACATATATGACGAAGTATTTGAAACAGATCATTATGATGTAACGAGTACATTATTGAAGAAAAGGAAATAAGTTAACTTATAGACACAGAATAGTAGGTTACGGACTGATTCTTTAAAACCAATCGACTTCATTAAATGTGTTTGCCAAGACAGGTGAGCTTAGGTAATTAGACTTATCATCCATTGGTATATCATGTAAAAACTACTGACTTATTTAAAATAATGGTATTTATTTTAAGATAAGTCACGAGTTAAAAATAAGTCTCTCAAAAATCGTGTGAGCTCAGAGCCGAGTCCACGTCCACAACTTGCGGGATTATTCCGATAAACATTCTTGTTCCTAGACCAATGCAACCACGCAAGCCAGCGTTTCCGAGCCATCTCATAGCTGTTTAAGACAGAGCTGTCGCTCATTGTAGAATATGTTAAAAAGCGTAGTGCTAGCATATCGTGCCGTGTTCTTCAACTATACTTCCCAAGCTTTCATATTAGATTGGCGGGAAGTGATTGCAAGGTCGATTGCAGTGAATTCATAATTATTGTTAGAAGTAGGGAGTGGTTGATACAATCCCACGGAATGACAAAAATGTTGAAACCGATCAACTTCTGAAGTTTACGTTTGTACAATGAAATTCTCTGGTATAGTTTTTATATTGTTGCTGGGTTGCCGTGATAAATTATGCTATTACGAAGTTCAGACCAGATTTTATGAAATTCATTTGCCATCCTGAAATCTATAATTGATTGTAATTTTTCCTTTTGTTTTTCAGTTCTTAGATCTGAGTCATTTATATGTATTACTTAATACTAAATAAAGATTTAGTTATTTATAAGATTTACACAGCTTACATGAGGTGTGCATGTACTATGCGTAGGGTTTGAAGTATATTTATTCCAGACAGTCGTGGCAAGGTTAGAAAGCGTAAATTTAATATCAAGAACAGTTTTCAGTAATTTTTACTAAAATAACATAAAGGGGATAATTGCATACAATGATCTTCAAAACCCTTCAAGAATTTGGTAGATCGTGCAATCTTTCTTCAGTAACTAGCACCACTTATATATCAAAATGATCATGTTGGCCACCTCAGACACCACATACACGACATTTCTAATATTGCAAGTTTCTCTCATTACGCGATCAAAAGAGTGAGCAACCCATTTGGTTTACTTTTGTTATTTTCAAGAGAAAATATGTTATCTTCTATTTATCTGGCAGATAGTCCTTAAATTGCAGAAAACTTAGAATTCTTTACATATTTATAGTGTACTGCACTTGAGATTGGAGTTTGATATATATTGGATTTAGATAAACAAGCTTTTGAATGGCATGCGATACCATTAAATTTATTTAAGAATTATTTATGGAGCTCCCAATTTATCAACTTACCTGCACTAAATTTTTTCAAACATTAATTGTTTCGATATTCCTTTTTCTTTTGAAATGTATTATATATTACGGTAGAACAACCGTAGTGATCGAGTCAACACTTCACACCAATTAGCCTAGCCTTATAATGGGCATTGAAAGGCTTGTGTTATGGGCTAACGCCTAAAAATGCATAATGATGATGCATAGATTAGAATTTATTAGATTAGATTTTCAATTCATATTTGTTAACAACCAAAACTTAGGCACAGATGCTCGTTTTTATCATACAATGATTTGCCCCACCGGCGTGAACCCAAGACCTTGGAGTATGCGACACCTTAAAAACCACGTACATTGCACTTCCCAACAGGGTACGTCAACATTCGATGTTCGATCTTTATAGTCTATTAAGAGGGTAGTTTATAGCCGATACTTATGTGTGTACGCAAGCCATGAGCGGGTATGTTGCGTTGCGTTGATGTATGGATTTCCACGCGATGGAAGTAATGAATTATGTCAAGCGACATTTATTATATTTTCAATTTACTCATTTTTAATGTTTCGAATCGTTTACACTTTTACAGACCCCATGGTCACAAAAATAAATTATGAATCACGAATAGACTACTTGTTAAATTATGCATAATTTGCTCCACTCGAGTGTCGTATATTACCGGTGCTTACATAATAGTACGAACTCCATAAGCTAACATGTTCTAAGGAGAACATATATTGATATTCACGTAATGGAAATAATATATTATGTGTGATATGACCCCACAAGGGCGATTATAAGATTGATGAGGATATTTCTCTATCAACGATGTTTTGTTACTGATACTTGTATGTATAGGCAAGCCATGGAAGGCAAGTCCTTATTCATAATGAGTTCCACATGGAGGAAGCAAATTATACATAATATGCCCCCGCGAGGGGCGGTCATCAGAGTTTTGGTAATATGCACGCCGCGAAGGTGGTTTGCTACCGGTACTCGTATATGTAAGCAAGGCATTAGAGGTATTTCATAAGGTTTCACGTAGTGGAAACAAATTGTATATAATATGCACCCCGCGAGGGTGATTTGCTACCGGTACTCGTATATGTAGGCAAGGCATTAGAGGCATTTCATAAGGTTCCACGTAGTGGAAACTAATTGTACATAATATTCACCCCGCGAGGGTGATTTGCCACCGGTACTCGTATATGTAGGCAAGGCATTAGAGGCATTTAATAAGATTCCACGTAGTGGAAACAAATTATATATAATATGCACCCCGCGAGGGTGATTTGCCACCAGTACTCATATGTGTAGGTACGCCATGGGAGGGCATGTCCTGACACGCCTTGGGCTTCATGAGATGAAGCTTATGAATATCACTTGCCTCTGCGCGAGTTGCTCATTAGGTTGATGAAATGTCAATCACTTAAATCCATGACAAATACTTACTTAATACGATAAAAACAACCTCATAGATGGTATCTTATTAAGTGGTGCTTCATCACAGAGATCACTAACTTCTTGCAGTGCTTTAATTTTTACTTTTTAGCTTTGTGCTAGCTGTAAAAGACCTAAGAAACGATTCTGTTATCTTATCACTTTCGTTATTAAAATTAACTGAGCAAGTGAACCGCAATGATTCATTTTTATTTTAAAAATATGCAATTGCTGAAAGAAAATTAATGTAAGGAACGTGATATATCATAAATTATCATAATACTTCTTTACCTCGTTGTTTGTTTCCAGTTTGATAAAGCCTGGACTATGATTACAATTTTTAATTTACATCAGCATATCATTTAAAATAAACGTTGAATGTCTTTCGAACAGAGCGTTCCTTTATCCTAGTTTAGTCACACGACTCATATGAGAATTTTTATTACGTGTATTGGTCAGTAAAAATGTTAGAACTTTTTATTCATAAGCCTTTACATATTGATAGCTGGCCATGTTCAGAAAACGGCATATAGACATTAGAAATACCTTATTAAGATTGTACATAGTTCACTTACCCCTC